TGAGCCTGGTATACAACTATTCGCTAGAGCTTTCTTAACTTGAGCACTTTTGACATTTATGCCAGCTACTTCTTTGGGCAGGGGTTGTCCTGTGCATTGTAGGATGTTTAGCAGCACTACTAGATGCCATTAACAACCCTCCCCCCCCAGGTGCAACAATAACAAATGTCTCCAAGTATTGGCAAATGTCTCAGGGTGGGTTAGAGTAGGGTAGGCAGGGGCTGTGGTCAAAAACTTTTAAAGTTACTGTTCCAGAGACATTGTACATTTTATTATATTCATTTTTTCCTCATAAATTTTTTATTGCATTAAATGACAAGTCATGGAAAATTGCATGGTGGCCATAAATAAATGCAGGTAGCAAGGAGAACAAAGGCTATATAAAGGTTATATTTATTATACCTTGATTATTTTTTTGTCTCACAAAGATGCTGTAAGGCAGTGGTTCTCAACCTTCTGGCCCTTTAAATACAGTTCCTCATGTTGTGACCCAAGCATAAAATTATTTTCGTTGCTACTTCATAACTGTAATGTTGCTACTGTTATGCATCGTAATGTAAATATCTGATATGCAGGATGGCCTTAGGCGACCCCTGTGAAAGAGTCGTTCGACTGCCAAAGGGGTCGTGACCCACAGGTTGAGAACCGCTGCTGTAAGGCTTAATTAGTATTGACAAAGTATTTAAAAATACCCAACTAAAACTTTTATGAATAGATACAATATTATTACACATAATAATATTTTGCCTTTATATGTCATTATTGTTCACTTGAGATTCTCAATGCATTGATTCATTTGTTTCCTCAGTATATGATTTTCAGTTCATCTCAGGGAAATTGATAACACAAGCTAGTGTTCACCTGACATAATATAAAATCAAGGAATTAATTTAATCTCACATTTCCTTTATAATACCCTGATCATTATTACTGCATCCTTATATAGAATACATATTTATTTAGTATATAGTACATATATTGTATTTAAAATATAAAAATTTAAAAATTAAAAATATAGTATATTTAATACAACTTTTGATATTTTCTATTCTATATTACTATATGTTATATATTTTATAATTTTTAAACACATATATTTCTCTTTGCTAGGCTGGCAATCTCGTAGAAATAGGAGGAGGTCTAAGCCTTCAGTTGTGTGTCTCTTGGAGGCTATAGGCTGTGGGCACATTATTCACTGGCAGCCTACAGGCATTAGGGAATGCTAGTTGCATTAGCTCAGTCTTCCAAGAAAATACTTTCATTATAGATTTATCTTTTCAATGCTGGGCTTTAGGCTGTTATTGAGATTGCTATAAGAAAAGAAACATATCTGTATTTTTTGTAATAATCCAGTTATAATACAACTTAAAATATATGGTGGGATAATCAGAACTGCATTCTGACTTTCATGAACACTGTCTTTGCCTTCATGGGTCCCTTCCTTTATAAAAAAAATGTACACTATCTTACACTATCTTCATATTTTTGGATTCTTTTTTCGTTTTGCTTTTCCGGATGGGTGTTTTTTGCTTCTTCGTATTTCAAATCTTTGACTTGATTCTTGGGATCTTCTAGTCTGCTGTTGGATCTCTGTATATTATTTTTAATTTCAGTCAGTGTATGTTTAATTTCTGACTGGTCCTTTTCCATTTTTTTGGCATTCTCATTAAGATCCTTGAAGGTCTCACTAAGTTCCTCGGAGGTTCGTAGAAGGTTCTTGAGTAGCCTTATAACTGTGGTTTTGAACTCTGTGTCCTCCATTAGTTTGCTTTCCTCCATTTCTTTCATTTGTGACATGTTTCTTTGTCTCCACATTTTTGGCTGACTGCGAGGACCTGCTGTGTCTACAGTGGAAGAACTGCTGTGCTGGAGACACCCTTATGGGGTAGGACTTACTTCAGTGGGGCTTTGGTGATCAATGAGTCTGCTTCTTGAGTGTGTCCCTTATGGATGTGAGGAGTTGAAATCTGGTATCTGGCCAGGGGTACCCTGGCTCCTGGATCGCCAAGTCAACCACTGTGTGAGTCCACCCAGCAGGAGCTACAGCGATATCAGCAGATTTCTCCTCTTTGTTTGGGGTTTGGAAGTTTTGGAGCTCTCTGACCCAGCTGCAGTTTGTTAGGCTAGGCTGCAAAAGCGCAGGTGATTCCTTTGTGCCGCTGGGCACAGCTTGGGTGGGGATGTAAATTGAGTGGGGCGGGGTCTCAGAGAATCACCAGGGTGGAGTAAACAGCAATGGCTGTCGTCAGCCGTCTCTGCGACTCCGTGTCTCTGCGTCCCCGAGTCCCGCGCCCCCACAGCAACAATGATCCCTGCGAGCAGCTCTGCGAGAAAGCCACCCTCGCTTTCCGACCCGCTGCAAGACAGTCCAGTTTCTCCCAGTAGGAGTCTGGGACCCCAGAGTCTCACCGTAAATGAGTTCAGTGCATTCGAGAGCTTGTATCCCCTTCTGATTGAAAAAAACCGCGCACCCAGGTGCAGCTGCCTCGCGCGCCTTTGTACCTCTGTTCTTGGCGCCTCTGCACCTCCTACCCGGTCTCAATGCGCTTTTTTCTTTCCTTCTAGTTGTAGAACTTCCACTCGGCCAGCTTTCCCATGGTTCTGGATGATAGCTGCTTTGTCTTATAGTTGTAGTTTTAATGTTTTTGTGGGGGGCAGCATGTACAGGTTTATACCTTATGCCGCCATCTTGGTTCTCCTTCGGTATTCTAGTTTTATTGCTTCAGGTAAGAATGACCCAGCAGACAACACAGCCAAATTCTTGAATTTGGGGTTCAAAAGCTTAGACCTTAGGATGACAACCTAGATTTGGAAGAATAGATGAAAAGGTGGGCTATCTGTCCCAGAGTAGATGAAGAATTTATGGACTGAAGACAGAGGAGGCAGAGATGTTGAGAATGTGTGAATTTGTTTAGGATCCCAAATTTGAATTAAGACTTTGGAAGTTCTAGAGCAAGCGGACTTATCACTGCCTCAGCCTCTATCTCCAGGGTAATGTCTGCAGAGCTGTCTGAAGGACAGGGCTCCTATGTGTCCGCCATGGTCAGGATGGGTAGGGACATGAAGCACCTACCTGCTTGGTGGGACAGTATCTGAGTTTCTAGAAACCCTGGATGGTGGGGGACACTAGAAAGTTTTTGGTAGGCTAGTGAGTGGCACCCTTGTGTCTCAGTGCCAGACTATACAAACATCTGTGTGGCAGGACCAGGAAGGCATAGCAGAGATCTGCATGGATCCATAACAGAAAACCACAGGGGAATGTTTCCACAAATGCTACCAAGAAGAGACAATGACAACAAAGGTGGATTCTTGGCATGGGGGAACCACATGGACCATTTAGAGCTGAAAGGACTCCTGAACTGACCAAGACTAATGTTTTCCAACTGGAAAGTGAGAGCTTTGTTAAATTATGGAAATTAAGTTTAATTATGGAAAAATTACGTTGTGATTCTTATATACCAGAATTTTTGAAGCCTGATTCGAATTCACTATACATAGATGTTTATAGAGCTTTACAGTATTTGAAGAACCTTCTGTATTTTTTTCATTTTAATTCTAATAAAAATCTAAAAAGGTACTGGTATTTGTTTATGTTCTCATTTTACATATGAAGCAAGAGGGTTAAATAACTTGCCTAAGGTCACACAGTTAGGACCTGGCTTAGCAAAGATTCAAACGCATGGCCTTATTACCTCTACCACCCCTGGTTCTTGATGTTGTTCAATATACCCACTAAGGACTTTCATGAGAGCTTTCTGTCAGTCTCAAAAAATGCTGGTATTGTATCAATATGCTTTTAAATTAATGCTCAGTTGTGAGGAAGGCAAGAGAGCTGGAACTCTGCCACTTCAATCTGGGCTTCCTTGCTGTTGTATTCTCTGCATAACTCTGCTCCCAATTCTCAGAGGTGGAGAGGTAAGGTGTAATTTGAATGCAGTACAAAGGCCAAGATGAGGGTTGGTTCCTAAAGGACCTCCTAACTTGGACACTGAGTGCCCCATCTAGGTGAATGGATGCTGTTCTGTTTCCACAGCCCTGTGGCCACACTCAGCATGCTGTAGATTTTTCTTTTTTTTTTTTTTAAATACATTTTATGAGCAAGTGAAGGCAGGGACTACATCAGGGTTGCTTTCCATTGCATCCCCTGTACCTAGCAAAATGCCTGGCATGTAGTAGGTACTTAAAAACACATGCTTAATGAAGGAACAATTGAAGGGACAGATAAGTAGAGAAATTTTTGGATACCTCAGTGTCCATTACACAATTCTAACCCTGTATCCCTTAATTGCAAGTTCACTTCTGAGGGGTGCTTGGGTTCAGCTTCTTTTGTCTTACCCAAGAAAGCTTTATAAAAATAGCTACTTCTCTTGCAGGCTACTTCACCTCTTCTTTCTTCTCTATCCCCAGATTTCTCCATTATTATTATTTCTAACCAGTCTTTTAGACAAGATGTTTGGAATATTTTTTCTTGTTCCATTTACATGTTTTAAGAACTGTTTTTTTCTACCTTATGTTTAATTGTCAGTTTCTTTTAAACCCTCTTTAGAAACAGGAGCACATGTTATAAATTCATATGAGCAAATACTTTCTGTTCTCTCTCATTTTGAAAAAAATTATAATTAAAATTCATGGTGGGAAAAATTTCCAAAGTGGCAAGTTGCCTTTCTAAGATATTACCATGTCTTATTTTAGAATTTACTTTTGGTAACTAATCTACATTATTAAATAAGATTCACTTCATTGGAGTCACTGAATAATTGCTGCTTGCTAAGTATTGTTTTGTGATATTAGTTTTACCACATATGCCAAGTTGTTTTTAAGAAGTAGCCTCAGTATTAGCCAAAAAGAGATGGAAAATATATGTCATAAATCTAGTAAATTTGTAATTAAAATAATTTCACAAATATAGTCCATTTTTATTGGATAATTTTTTTAAAGGTTAAATGCAGTACATGATAAATAAGCTTTATCTCTTAACAGATTCTTACTTTTTTCTTAAGGCACCGCAACAGAGAAGCTTACCCCAAAGATTATGATATCGAGGGTCCTGAGAAAATTAAAAAACTGTGTGACTCAACATATCGGAGACTTGGAACTGATGAACCCCAAGTGAGTAGTTGCTGCTAATTTCTTTAAGCCTGGAATCTTCCTCCTTGTGAAGAATGAAAAATAAAGGGAGGAGCCCTTTGCTGGTGCCATCCTCTTAGCTATGTTAGTTACTTAGGCACGTGATTTAATCACTGTGTGCTTCAGTGACCTTACCTTAAACACGTGTATACTTCAAAAGGTTATTGGAAAAATAAAATGAGATAAAACAAGTAAAATGCTTACCTCAGCCTGGCACAGACCAAGTGCTCCAGGAATGATTACTGTTGTTACACTTTTGCTGCACCTGCGGCATCTTGCTAGGTGTCTGCTTTGACCTTCACAATAACCATGTGAAGTAGGTATTATCTTGATTACAGATGGGTAGGATCTCCTAGAGCAGTGATGGCGAACCTCTGACACGCGAACTCATTTTTTGGTTGATTTTTCTTTGTTAAATGGCATTTAAATATATAAAATATCAAAAATATAAGTCTTTGTTTTACTATGGTTGCAAATATCAAAAAATTTCTCTATGTGACACTGCACCAGAGTTAAGTTAGGGTTTTTAAAATGCTGACACGCCGAGCTCAAAAGGTTCACCATCACTGTCCTAGAGGTAAAGCAACTTTCTCAAAGTCACACAGTTAGGGAGTGGAAGACTTAGATTTCAGTTCTATTTGTACTTATGGTGGCGGAGTTGTGAGTAATTAAAACATGCTAATATCCTTATAGTATTTGTACACCCATTACAAAAAGAATATTCATTGCATTGCATCAGTAATTTGTATTTGAACTGCTTTTGTGGGTTATTGCTTGGCTATTTAGACGTCTACCCAATCAGTATGAGGCAGGAACTCAACTTCGCAAAGACCCCTAAATTGTGTCCTACAATGCTAAGAGCTTTGGGCAAGTTGAAGAACCAATTCAGCCTTAATAGGATGGTCTTGGAGCCTGAAGAGCTGGTAATTTGGCATGGGCAGATGTGAATGTGTTGAAAAAACTAGGTTTATATCACATTCTTCCCTCAAAGGCTGGCCTAGTTTGAAATAGGGCAGGTCCAGGAAGGAAGATCCACACTTAAACATTAGAAATGGTTCTAGAAGATTCTCGGTTCTCCAGTATGATGGAAATAAATTAGCTTTGCAGAGCCCAGGCTGTTACCTCCCTTCCTCGTATAGTTCAATTGACACAGTAATAAGGATAGTCTGAAAAATGGGGACTTATTATAAAGATACAACTTCTGGATATGGAACCAAGAAATTTAAAAGAACCAAGACAGCAAGACAGTCTCTTTCATTCTCTCTCTCTCTCTCTCTCTCTCTCTCTCTCTCTCTCTCTTTCTTTCTCTCACACAAGCACACAGAGTCTCTCTTGGCATCTCTGTTTCTCTCTGCTCAGTTGTGCTCTTTCCTCACAGCTCAGTTCTCAGGGGAATTCTGTTGTTTTCATCAGTTTCCACACCACCCTCTTGCCTTTGCACCAGGCTGTCTCTTTGGTCATTAGCTCACACATGGATAGAGCTCTTTAGTCTAGTACCTAATTCTATCAGTAGTCACTCTCTCCCACTCTCCCAAATCCAGTTTAACCTTGCTTTCTTGAGCACAGGGCTATAGTCAGGACAAGAGCGAGTGGAAAAGGCAGGCATTACCTGGCATGCACTTAGAGGGGTTTTTTTGTTTTGTTTTTTTTTACCTTGAAAAACATTTATTTTTTATTTCTAAGTGAAAATGTTTTTGGTCTCTGGATTGTTGGAGGAAGCAAGATGAAGTGAAGTATGAGGTGTAAGAACCACAACATTCATTCCTTATATTCCATGCATTATAGTAGTCAACCCTCAGGTTTAATATATGATACATAAATAAGATATTAACCTTCTCTCTGACATTTGTTCATGGTCATTGAAAACTTGTCTTTCCTTTACCATATTTGCTGTATGTATTAGATAGGAAGAAAAATAGACCAAGGAGTCACTATTTCTGATGAAACTGCTATTCTCATGTCTTAATAGTAGGTTACATTTTTCTCTATAGATTTTTTTTAAATATATAAAGCACTTGCTCATTCATCTTGTTCCTTGCTATTCTCAAACAAAGTTATAAAGTTGACAAGAAAGGTATTATTTCAGTTCTCAACCTAGATTCACTTATTTCAAATGGCTCACCCAAGGTCCCAGGTATATAAAAAGAAGGAAGGGATACAGAGTCTCCATACCTTCATGTGTCAGGTGGGATGCTAGATGTGACAGGAGGATGGATGAGTTTCTCTTCCTCTTGTCACAGATTTTGATGGAGGTCTAAATACTAGAACACTCTAGATATTTGGCAAGAGCCATATGTCCTAAAGCAAGATGTTGGACTACCTAAGCAGGAGCTGTAAAAGATTATAAACTAGGTGAGGCCAGTATGAACGGTTATGTCTTTGAAGACTAGAGCCCAAGAGTTGAAAGAGGATTTATTTAGTTGTGGGTTGTATGTCTCTCCTTCCACAGTTGAGAGGTATTTCAAGGGAACCACTCAGAGAGATTAATAGGTGTGTCCTGTAATTTAGAGGACATAGAGTCCAGGTATATGACATATGCCTGAGAACCTAAAGCTGAGAGCATGCTTGGTCTGGCAGAGCAGAGGGTGGGAGTGTTTGGGGAGAAGCAGTCCTTGAAGTGGGATGTTGGTCAAGGATATATGAGTGTGTGAATTTACCTATGGACTCATTGGAGAGAATTGGCCAGAGCACACTTGAAAAGGCTGCTTAGAGTAGGAGCAGGGGGTGAAGAGACCGAGCACAACAGACCCATCAGATACTCAAGGCTTGGAAAGAGGAGTTACAATCAACCGGGAGGAGCTTTGCCTGCTTCCAGCAAGCTACAGTTGGAGGCCCTTGTAAGAGAGTCCCTGGAAACAATTACAATTGTGCCGCCTGAGAGGAGTCAATTTTGAATGTCCCATAAGCCCAGGACCACCAGCACAGGTCAAGAGAATAAGGGCCATTTAACACTGTGCCTCATCTCTTCCCATCAGCCAGACCTGGGAGGGGCCTGGGAGTTGGGGGAAATAGAAGAGAGAAGCCTGGAAAGGAAACAGCAGTGGAACAAGGCCCCACCCACTGCAGGCTTCCAGGCCAAAAGCAGCCCTGAGCTGGGAAGGTGGGAACCTTAAATCTAATCAGTTAGAAGTGATTACTTCACTGGACTGGAAAATTTCATAGCTACAATGATATCCTTCTTGAGATTGAGTGGCCCAAAAAAGCTATGGGACTTGCTTAAAATTTCCAACAAGCCAAAGGAAAGAGCTAGCTATCCATGTGGGATTTAAGGGGCAGCTTGATTAAAATCAAATTGCTTAATGATCACATTCTATTGATGAAATAGAATCAATTCAATAAGATGGTTACATGAACAGTGCCTCATTTCATCTTTGGAAAAACTCCCCAGGCAGGTACCACACATGGCCCACATTGTGTAGATGAGGACACTGGGGCCACGTGAAGCTTTATCACTTATTCAAAGTCAAACAGCTGGCAAGTATATTAAAAATTAAAATCCATTTATTTCCCTACTGGTTCCAAAGTCTAAGATCGTAAATACTTTCCCAAATTCCCTTTTAAAATGCCATGTTGCTCCACTCTTAGTCCTTTTAAACATCTGACAGTACATACTCCTTGCAGAAAATGAGCCTGGTTACTTTTTTGCTCTGGCTTGGGTATTGTATACCCCTTACTGCATATGTTATGGGCTTTGATTTCTTACATCTTAACTACCACCTCTGTCCTGTTTCCCAAATTATGTCTACATATGTGCTGGCCAGCCCTATTCCCATCTGCTTTTCCTCCTGAATG